CCCGGGGGGGGGGGTGCAAAATTGTGGCTTGCGTGCCCCCCGGTCCTGTTGCGGTGCGTTCCCCGAAGGAGGGCGGTGCAAGATTATGGCTTGCGTGGCCCCCGCTCCCGTTGCAGGTGTAGTCGGCGAGGAGGGAGAGGAAAAGGGGGTGTCGAAGTATGACGTATCCCCCCCCCCAATCCATGATATGTGTCACTGCCGAGCCCCCTATGCGCGGTATGTGATATAAGCATGGGACCGGACCGAACGATTCCATTTCTCTCTCTTGATGCCTTGCCGCATCTGTTGCTGTTGTTGTTGCTGCTGTCTCGACAGTACCAAACGTTTCGACCTCAATCCGATACCTAGATCGATACGACGCTGCCGCAAGGCTGTGCCGAAGCAAGATCTAGGTGTGTTTGTGCAGGAAACGACCTTTTACTTTTCTTGAATTGAATATGTCTCTCAATCCCCTTCTTGAAAAGTTCGACGCGTCTTTTACCTCCATACACATTTTTCTGGTCTATTGGGTGTACGATTTGTAGACGCTTCAACTATGCATACCTCGTGGATTTTACTGTTTATCGATTGACGCCCTTGCTGAATGTCCTTGTCTCGTTCGAAAACGTGCAGGGGGTGATCCATTACTACCCTTACGACGGAGAGAAGGAGACCAGGCCACAAGTTCGGCCCGACGAGGAGGACGACGAGTCGATCACCATAGAGGCCTTCTGGGAGGGCCGCTTGGTGCCGGAGAGCCACGCCGCGTGGCTCCCTTTCTTCCCGTCGCACAAGCCGTGAGTTTTCGTTGTTGTTGTTGTTATTGTTGTGGTTGCCGCCGCTGCATCTGCTATTGTTGTTGCTGTGGCTGTTGTCGTTTTGTCATTGTTGTCATTGTGGCCGCCTCTGCAGCTGCTTTTGTTGTTGCTGTCGCTATGGCTGTGGCTGTTGTCGTCGTCGTTGTTGATGTTGTTGTGCTGCCCGGAAACGCCATGTATTCCGCCGCATACGTCGTCCGAAGAACCCTCGACCTCCTCCCCCGCTGGTCCCCCAGGAACAAGAAAGAAAGAGAGGCGCTCGGCACCAGCTGGAGACGACGCATCAAGGGCATGCTCTTCTTCGACTGGAACTTCCCCATCAGCAACAACAAGCTCAAGCTGCAGTTTCTGGAGGGGGACCTCCACACAGCCCTGAACGCGAACTACCTCCCGCCCAAGCATCCGGCGGTCATCTACCCCGGGGTGCGGGGACGCAACATCCAGAAGGAGTTCAGAGAGTGGCTCATCAAGTGCCACGAGGTGTGTATGGGGGGGGGGGGGGGGGGGGGGTACTCATAGTCGTGCATGCCGTAGTCGTTAGACCATTGACCTCGCATCCCTACAAAGCCGGGACGGAGCACGCCGAGTTCTCACCGGACCAGGCTCTCACATCACCAAGCGCGAAGCGCCGTGAGATATTCGGCGAGTCGCATGAAGGGTGCGCTGCATCCTGCTAAGGGTGTTCGGCATCTTGTGCTTACTTCCTTGCGTACGGATGACAGCTGCGTATGACTTAATTTATTTTCTGGTGCTTTCACTTCCAGAGACAGTTGTAAGCACTGTGTAACTGCCTCGAGGGTGCTTGACCATTTTAACACAACGTGGTGCGATCATCCCCCTTGCGCGGAGTGAGGGTTCTCCACCCCGCACAACATGATCTACTCGACCACCATTATGGTTACCGCCAAAAAAAAAACCGGAGGTAAAAAAAAAAAGCGGTAACCTGGTTGCCGAGTTCACGAAGTGAATTGGCTTGTTTTACAACGTCGTTGCCAAGCGACGAAAACCCAATCCCGATGTCAAACACCGAGGGGGTGGCTTGTTTTACAACGTCGTTGCCAAGCGACGAAAACCCAACCCCGATGGCAAACACCGGGGAGGGGGTACTCATTTTCTCTATGCCGTGGTTGCTGCCATAGACCATTGACGATGGGGGTGGGTAGGGGGGCGGGATGCTCATGTGTTTCGTGCCTTAGTTTCTACGCCACTGACATTGCGGGGTGTGTGCTTATGTAAACGCTTGCGGTTGGTGTTATCCATTGACCTCGCTACTTGTAGACCATTGACCTCGCAAGCCGGGACGGAGGGATATGCCGTTTTTCCGCCAGCCCAGGCTACTAGCTTCATAACCGCGCACCATACGCTGGTCATCATGCTCGTGGGGGTGTTTCAGCAGCGATCGAGAGCAGTATCAGGAGCGTAACTGCGCCATTTTTCGATCCGTCTACCGTAGCATGCGCAAGACTTCCACACACCCTCGGACCGATCTCTCATGCTGTATTGTTCCGCAGCGAACGCCGTGACTGTAGCGTCGGCGATGTTGTAACCGCCTCGTTGGCAGCTTTCCGAAAATGAATCATCTTCGTGGAGGAATCGAGCTGTGAGTATTCATCCAGGGTGCAGTGTCATGTGCCACCTGTGGTATGACCGTGTCTCATGATGGTGGCATCCTCTTCGTCGTGGAGTAGTCGAACTAGAAAATCGGCCCAGGATGGGTGGTATCGTATGTCACCTACGGTTACATGGGTTTTGTGCTTTTTCGCGGCGCCTGGTATGAGTCGAGCACGAATCGATCCGACAACCAGATGACTCCACTTAACAAGTTGATTATTTGGTGAAGATTTTATTTTTTGGAAGTTTGAGAAATTTACCGAGCCTGTTGTGGTTTTTGAGTGGTGGCGCCCTCCGTACGATGTCGCACCTTTGTCAAGTCTTGCATGATTCGCCCTCGCTCCTCTTCCTTCCTATTGTATGGAAAAGACGCCGGGCATGGAGTACGTCTCGACGCGCCTCCGTATGCTGTCCCGCTTTTGTCACGTCTTGAATGACGCGATATTTCCAGGAGGTACGCCCTTTTTCTTTCTAGAAAATAGAATACATTCAGAGCAGTGAGACCTACCCGTTCGGGGTAATTCTGAAGTTCGAAGGGGTGTGTTGAGATCTTCCTCAGTGACGTGTGTCATTGGTCTACGGAACTAGCCGTTACACATTGGCCACCTGTGTCGTTCGTTCGTTGAAACGATGCTGGATGTCAAGTGCAGCGTCGACGTTACACACTTGCACCAGCACGCTTACCCCCTTGTTGGGAATTGAGCCGTTCCCTCTTTCGGAACCCGTCGTTTTTGTTCCATGAACAGACACTGGACGTGGAGTACCGTTTCGACGACAAGATGCCCAGCCCGGCGAGCTCCAAGTACATCAAGTGGAGGACGATGACCTTCGGGAAAGGCGGGTCGACCTTCACCACCGAGAGCCGCGTCAAGCTTCCCTTCATGAAGCCCAACGTTTACGGCGTCATAAACTATTTCAGGACTGAGGTACTTGAGCATGGATGTGGTATTAAGCGTTTTTATTCTTGTGTCTTCTCGTCTCTTTTGCTTAATTTTTTGTATCTTAATTGTAGTTGGGCGCGTCCAGAGCAAGCGAGAGGCGGACCTTGCCTGCTTTTAAATTTGTATTCAACAGACGCTCCTAGGACAGAGGTTCGAGACTGTATCGCAGTATTTTCTGGGAAAGCGTTAGTCTTCTTAATCCCTGCCCTAAAACAAAAACAAACATGCTTTAAATTGGTAATTACGAGAGATTAAATGAGCCGCGGGTGACGACTCGTATGTAATCCATACAAATAGTCTATGCGATGCTGTGCGATGTTTGACTGTGCGCAAGACGATCAAGACCAGCAGAAGAAGCCCCGCCCAAAGACGAGCCCGCAAGATTGGTAGTGTGCAGGGGGCACAGTCGTTTGACGGGCGGGGTGCAACGCGATGACCTCGCGACGAGAAGCCGTGGTTGTGCAGCACATACATGAGGTTATCGGTAGATTGTTCACGTGCGGTCAAAATTGTTTCCGCTGATGATGCCATTCACAGGCGTTCGTTAATTTGTTGATCAACTTCGTTAATTCTTCATCCATCACGCGTCACGCCTCGCACTTTTGAACGAACTGTGCATATGACGTCATGCTCCGCACTTCGGGTTCAACTGTTGTTTTGTCGGGCGTTGGTTCTGGCGGTCGATTCCTATTCAGCGCCCCTTCGTCGTTCGACAAGCAGTCGCGTTCTGGGCAACTTCCCGGTCGCTAGACCGTGCGAGAAACGGTGCTTATCCTCAGCAATATCGGTTTACGCTTATCAATCTCGTCTCATCCGCAATAACCTCGGCTTATCCTCAGCAATCTCGGCTTACCCTCGGCTTATCCTCAGTAACCTTGGCTTGTCCTCGTCATTCTCGGCTAATCCTTATCAACCTCGGCTTATCCTCATCAATCTTGGCTTATCCTCCGCAATCTCGGCTTAACCCCAGTAATCTCGGCGTGTCCTCAACAGTCTCGGCTTATCATCATCAATCTCGGCTTGTGCTCATCACTCTCGGCTTATCCTCGGCTTATCCCCTGCAGTCTCGGCTTTTCCTCGTCTTCTCCTCATCAATCTCGGCTTATCCTCACCAATCTCGGCTCATCCCCAGTAACCTCGGCTTGTCGTCATCAACCTCGGCTTGTCCTCATCAATCTCGGCTTGATCCTCAGCAACCTCGGCTTATCCTCATCAATCTCGACTTACCCTCGTTAATCTCGGATTATCCTCATCAACCTCGGGTTATCCCCAGCAATGTCGGCTCATCCTCATCTTGAGTAGCTCGGCTTATCCTCAGCGATCTCAGCTTATCATCACCAACCTCGGCTTTTCCTCGGCATATACTCATCGATCTCGGCTTATGCTCAGCGATCTCGGCTTTTCCTCCGCAACCTCGGCTTTTGCTAGTCATTCTCGGCTCATCCTCATCGATCTCGGCTTATCCTCCGCAACCTCTACTTGTTCTCATCAATCTCGGCTTATCTTCATCTCTTTCGGCTTATCCTCAGCAATATCGGCTTATCCTCATCAATCTCGGCTTATTCTCATCAATCTCGGCTTATCCTCAGCAATCTCGGCTTAACTTCATCAATCTCGGCTTAACTTAATCAATCCCGGCTTATCCTCAGCATTCTCGGCTTATCCTCATCAATCTCGGCTTATTCTCATCAATCTCGGCTTATCCTCAGCAATCTCGGCTTAACTTCATCAATCTCGGCTTAACTTAATCAATCCCGGCTTATCCTCAGCATTCTCGGCTTATCCTCATCAATCTCGGCTTATTCTCATCAATCTCGGCTTATCCTCAGCAATCTCGGCTTAACTTCATCAATCTCGGCTTAACTTAATCAATCCCGGCTTATCCTCAGCATTCTCGGCTTATCCTCATCAATCTCGGCTCATCCTAATCAATCTCGGCTTATCTTCATCACTTTCGGCTTATCCTCAGCAATCTCGGCTCATCCTTATCAATCTCGGCTTATCTTCATCTCTTTCGGCTTATCCTCGGCAATATCGGCTTATCCTCATCAATCTCGGCTTATCCTCATCAATCTCGGCTTATCCTCATCAATCCCGGCTTATCCTCAGCATTCTCGGCTTATCCTCATCAATCTCGGCTCATCCTAATCAATCTCGGCTTATCTTCATTCACTTTCGGCTTATTCTCAGCAATCTCGGCTTATCCTTCATCAATCTCGGCTCATCCTCATCAATCCCGGCTTATCCTCAGCATTCTCGGCTTATCCTCAGCATTCTCGGCTTATCCTCATCAATCTCGGCTTATCCTCATCAATCTCGGCTCATCCTAATAAATCTCGGCTTATCTTCATCTCTTTCGGCTTATCCTCGGCAATATCGGCTTATCCTCATCAATCTCGGCTTAT